TCAAAAGATAAGCCCTAAACTCATAACTATATCTCAATTGCCTTCAATATATGATATTGTTAGTAAGTAATGGCACTAAAGAATTTCATTTCACAAGCTCATTAAGTTATATTTAGCCTTTTTTTTTAATCAGACAACCAGACTACATAATGCATAAAAAACAACAAAATTCTTAAATTTTTTGTTAATCCGTCTCTATCATCCTGATTTTATTTGTTAGTCAATAGTTCTTGCAATATAAAGTTATTTAGTTATTTTCGTTCTTGTAATTTAAGTGGGCCTAAAAATCAAACATTTTTTAATAAAAATTCAATTTAGACTAAAAGTCCAAATCGACTAATTGAACTCAATTTGGTTTGGTTTGATTTGATTTAAGAGTTGGAGTAGTTGGTTTGGATTGAAATACACCCAAACCGACTAATTTGATTTTGGTTTTGGGTTGGAGTCGAAATTGACCATAACCAAAACCCACCCATGCCTATTTGAGAGAGAGAATTTAGGGGAGAAAATATCAAATTTATTTCATAAAGTTGTTTTTATTACCGTGCAAAAGACACATTTATATAGGTTTTAAATATTTTATTTTAAGTAGGAAATATCAATAAAATCTATGTAATCAAACCGTAATTATATTACCTAAAATAAGCATCAAAATTGAAAAGTAAACTAAATAACATCTCTTTTAATATCCCATTACCTAATTATCTCTAATTAAGTTACGAACACATAAGCATGCAATAAGTCATAAGTTCGCCGTTCATGACTTCATACGACACAATAGTATCTCTATCTATTATATGACTCTTGTTTATTACCATGTACCAATTTATACAGGAAATATTGAAAGCGATATAAATCACAAATACATTGTAATTGTGATCAATCATCAAATTAAAATAAGAGAATAATAACACAAACAACACAATAGGAAGAATTTAATAAAATCGAGCAACTTCGAATTGAATTAAAACACAAGGTCTCATCATTAATTCTAGATACAAAAAGTAGAGTAGGACATATGTGGATTATATAAATACAAAAGTCTGATGAATTCATAACCCAGATGAACTGATAGAAGAGAATAATATAACCCTCAATGATGAATCTCTTCTATAATCTTGGAATTGCATTTTCTTCACCATCAAGAAAATTCAAGAGATAATGAGAAAAGCTCGTTGTGTTCCTATAGAATCTTATATGATTTGGTCTTTGTTTAATCTAAATTACCTCTTATATAGTTTTCTATGGACTTTGAAATTTTCACCTTGAAAGTACCAAAAAGTCCCTAATTTAAGGCCCAAAAAAAAATGTCATATACTAAAACGAGGTTAGCTATGCCCTCGAACCATCGGTCATGAGCAGACTTTACTCGCGGGGACTTCGGGTTCCAAAATCATCCAGCTACACGGCTACAAGCTTTGATTCTTCAATTATTGAACAGTTCGTCCCCTAACTTTTAACTACTATAGAATTACAGTCCTTTAACTTTTAGATTCATCTATTTAGGTGCTCAGTATTTTTTTTTACTATATCTAAATCTATCCCTAAACTTACACTCTACTCTTTCACTTTTTGATTTCTTGATTATTGGTCCTTCAAGTTCTTGACTATCAAAACCTTCCAATCAACTGCTCAACTTCTCGATAATTATGCAATTTCACCTTTTATGCGACAAATAAGCTTTAAATCTCTTCTTTTTATTTAATTCATATCTAATTGGGGTTTTATCGTGAAAAATAATACATACACTAAGTCACTTTAAAAGCTTTTATTGGCGTACGAAACACACTTATCAAACATTTTGAAACCTACATTTTTGCTAGTCACGAGCAAAATTATCTGTGCAACTACTTTAACGTACAAACAAAAAGGAAACAAAGACTAACTTTATTGGATAACTTATCGTATTTGTCTCAGGTTCAAAACTGCAAAGTGAATTAACAAAACGGTTCCAAAAATGCTACCAAAATAGGGCTTTTTGTTTTAATTTTTTTTTAAACTTACCTAAATGTCCGATTGATGTGTGCATAACAATTCCAATTATCACCTAAATCCAATCAAAATTGCATTAATTAATAAACTTTCAAGTTGGTTATATCCACCCTTCAAGCAAGTCAAATCACCAGTTATCTAGTTATTTAGATCCCGAATTGTAGTGTCCAATGCTTAGTCAGACTTGTAGCACTGTCTTCTATTTTATACACATACTTTTATCCCCTATTTTGAACTTGAATTCTTCATTTTTGTTTTCCCTGGATATTTATATGGTGTTTTCATTGAGATCTTTTATAGCATAGCTCTTGCTCATGTAAACATGGTAATGTTTTCCTATTTATTGCTATGATAGTGCAATATATTTTATCAAGACAAGTAATTAAGATTAGATTCGTAGCATACAATCAATACCTAGTTTTCGCTTGTTAACAAAATCACTCCATACATATAACTATACAAGAAATCAACACGTATCCAACTAATCACATTTGTCAGTTCAACCATCCAAAAAATTATT